CACAGCCACCCTGCTTTCTTTGCTTTCTTTGGTTTTGCTTTTTTATTCCCGCAGCTCAGCTAGGCCCAGCAATGGTACTGCTGCTGTTGCTGCTGCTAGCAGGAGGAATGTTGTAAGCCGGACAGAGCCCCCCGTGCAGGACGCGGCTGGTTAAAAACCGCGGTCTGGCCTTAGTTTCAGAGGACAGTGCGAGTCACACCTGCGTATGGTGAGAGCAGGTGAATGATTTGCTGTGCCTGGTGACAGAGCTCAAAGAAGAAGTAGAGAGGTTAAGAAGCATTAGGGACAGTGAAAGGGAAATAGACTGCCGGAGTGAAACCCTTTCCAGCCCAAAAGAAGTTCATCAGGAGATGGTGAAGCCCTGCCCCTGAGGCAGATGAAACAAACCAAGCAGATGGGGGGAATGGAAACAAGTCCCTGATGGAAGAAGTAAAACAATCCCTTCCCAACCCCTATCACCTCTTAGGTTACCCATAAAGAACAGATTTGAGGCTCTGGACCCAGAGAGTCAGGCAGAGGACAGTCAAAAGGAAGATCCATCTGGAGGGTCTCCAGCTTGCACCCCATCTGCTAGATAGATTAGAACAACAGCTCTGAAGAATAAAAGAAGGGTAGTTGTATGAGGTGACTCCCTTCTGAAGGGAACTGAGGGCCCTGTATGCCAACCAGACCCATCCCACAGGGAAGTGCTGCCTACCCAGGGCTCGGGTAAGGGATATCATCAGGAAACTGCCTGAGCTCATTTGGCCTCTCATTACTACCCACTGCTAGTAGTCCAGACTGGCAGTGATGATATTAATGAAAGAGGCATCAGGGTAATTAAAAAGGATTTCAAGACACTGGGTAGATCAGTTAATGGGACAGGAGCACAGGTGGTATTTGCCTCAGTTCCTGCAGCCGCAGGGACAGATGAGGAGAGGAGTAGGAAAACCCACTTTATCAATAGGTGGCTAAAGGATTGGTGCTACTGGCAGAATTTTGGTTTTTTTGACCATGGGGCATATTCTGTGTTACCAAGCCTGCTCAAGTCAGATGGGCTTCATCTCTCTAGCAGGGGCAGAAGAACTCTAGCCCGTAACTTGGCAGGGCTGATCACGAGAGCTTTAAACTAGGTTTGAAGGGGGAGGGGCTGGAAACCAGGATTTCTAGAGATGAGCCTCAGGGTGGGCAGCCAGAGTTAGGAGTTAAATCATCAGCCCAGCTGAAGTGCATGTACACTAATGCACACAGTGTGGGTAACAAACACGAGGAGCTGGAAACTATCGTGCAGCAGGAAAGCTATGACATAGTCACCGTCACAGAAATGTGGGATGACTCGCATGACTGGAGTGCTGCCATGGATGGTTACAGGCTCTTCAGAAGGGATAGGCAAGGTAGGAGGGGTGTAGTGGTGGCTCTGTATGTCAGAGAGTCTCTTGACTCTGTAGAGCTTGAGCTCAGTAACAGCAAGGTTGAGTGCCTGTGGGTCAGAAACAAGGGAGAGGCCAACAAGGCTGATATCTTGGTGGGAGTCTGTTACTCAGTCAGGATGATGAGGGTGATGATTTACTCTACAGGCAGCTGGTAGAGGTCTCAAAATCACCAGCCCTTGTTCTTGTGGGTGACTTTAACCTGTAAAAAAAAAGATGTCTGCTGGAAATTTAATACAGCAGAGAAAAGGCAGTCTAAGAGGTTCCTCGAGTGCATAGAGGATAATTTTCTACTCCAGCTGGTAGATGAGCCTCTGTCCCAGGGATGGGGCCCTGCTAGACCTGCTGTTCACAAACAGAGAAGGGCTGGTGGGAGATGTGGTTGGAGGCCATTTGGGGCACAGCAACCATGAAATTATGGAGTTTTTGATACTCAGGGATGCAAGAAGGGCCATCAATAAAACTTCTACCCTGGACTTCCGAAGAACAGACTTTGGCCTGCTCAAAAGTCTTGTGCAAGGTGTACCCTGGGAAACAGCCCTTGGAAACAAAGGGGTCCAGGAGGGATGGTCATACTTCAAGAATGAAGTTTTCTTCTCCCAGGCACCCAGCAGGAGGACAAGAGGGTGCAGACTCAAGCTCTGCCAGGGGAGGTTTAGACTGGATATTAGGAAGAGATTTTTTACAGAGTGATCAGGCATTGGAATGTGCTGTCCGGGGAGGTGGTGGATTCACCATCCTGGAGGTTTTCAAGACGAGACTGGATGTGGCACTTAGTGCCATGGGCTAGTAATCATAGTAGGGTTGGACTTGATGATCTTTGAGGTCTCTTCCAACCCGGCTGATTCTGTGATTCTATGATTTTTGAGAGGTGTTATCCAGAATGGAAGCACAGTGAAAGGTCCTTAGAAATAAAGTAGAAAAGGGTTACAGAAAAGCCAAACCAAAACGAACCCTTACTGTCCAAAATGAAACTGCAGTCTGACAATGAGCAGTCAGCTTTGGTTTGGAAGAGTCTGTCCATAGGTACAGCATACAGATCCCAGTGGTGTGTTCAGGTAAGGTCTGGGCTGTCTGACCTCTGCAGGGACAGGGCAGGCTGGCAGGGAGGGAGGGAGGGAGCACTGCTGCAGCTGTGCACAAAAGCTTTTGGGGAGGGAAGGTGCCAGCAGTGGGTCTGACCTCTGGGGAGCAAGTTCTCCCAGTGAGGATCTAACCATCTGCCTTGCTTTCAGTACTCCTTCAAGGAGAACGGCTGGGGGACATACCTTGCTGAGAGACTGGTCAGGTAAGAGCCTACATTTCAACAGTCATTGCTAACATGCAGGATATGCAGCTTTTCTAAATGAAAACCAGCACAAGATAATATTTAATGTGTGTTTATTTATTGACATTGATTTATTTAGTGAAGTGGAACTGCCATGGTGGCAACATGCCCAGTACTGGTGGAAATAGTCATTGGGTGTTTTCACTCAAATCTTGAGGGGAAAGAAAAAACTCCTTAGTGATTGTCAAGATTGTTGTTCTGGTTCCATAGTGTAAGTGACAGGTAAATATTACATGTGCAGTCTGTGCCTGCACTTTCAAAGCATGATCCCATTGAAAATTTGTGTGACATCTCATTTTTCCTGGGAAGGATGGAGGCAGATGTCCTGACAGAATGGTTCAGTGCTTCCCAAGTGTTGTTCTGGTGGGCAGAGGAGGCAGAGATGTTCTATTTGATACTTGTCTCTGTTTCAGAAAATGTGATGTTGTGAACCGCGGGATCTCGGGGTACAACACCAGGTGGGCTAAATTGATTCTTCCAAGACTGATCCCTAAAAGTACTAGTGCTGACAGTATTGCTGCAGTTACTATTTTCTTTGGAGCCAATGACAGTGCCTTGCAAGGTAGGGTACCTTGCTTTTTGCTTTGTTTTTTTTTCCCCATGACCTGTTCTCTTAAGACAGTTTTACAGTAGAGCAGAAAAGGCAGAGCATTTCACAGGCTCTTGTTGCTGCTTCTCTAGGAACTGGTTGCTCTATTTTCGTTTGTACAGTGGATTGTTTTCAGTCATTTGATTTGTATTCAAACCATGCAGTGCCTTCTATTTCTCTCCCTCTCACCAAGTTTTAATGCTGAAAAAGCAAATTTCAGAGTGCTCAAGAATTAGTTGTATGGTGATCACCTAAAATTGGAGTTGGACATCTAGCTGGTTTTTCTGCCTTTAAGGGAGTCTGATGAGTTCCTGGCAGGTGGGCTGAGGTGATGGTGGAAGGTAGCACTTGGATTCTCTTTCAGATAAGCATAGCAGCACACAGAGCTAGGCTAACCAAACTGATAGCATCAGAGCACGAAGGACTCACAGCACGTCCATGGGACTTTACAAAGTTTTCTGTGTCCAAGAGAGTTACAAATCTTAGGGTTTGGTTCAGGTGAGGTTTGAGGTTATTATGTGATCTAATACTAAGATATAGAGTTGTCAGTAAAAACCTCTTAAAATAAGATATTGGGTTTTTTTTTTCCTCTGTGCCTTATTTGTGTTAGTTGGAAGTGCTGAGTTTGTCTGCTCAGGGTGTTGAGGAATGGCATTTTCCTGCCACACCTCCCGAATCCATGGTTGAGGTGAACTGCATACTGGAAATGAGTGTCCACAGTCATACACTGTGTAAAGATCATGTTGTGTTGTGTAACAAAGCTCTAAGCAGCTCAACAGCACTTAATGCATTTGCTCCACCACTCACAGACCTGAACCCCAAGCAACACGTTCCTTTGGAGGAATATGCCGCGAACCTCAAGAGCATGATACAGTATCTGAAGTCAGTGGACATCACTGAGGACAGGATTATTTTGATAACACCACCACCTCTCCAGGAATCGGCGTGGGAAAAGGCATGTCTTGCCAAAGGTGAGAGAGTGATGGGGATGGGCAGAATTTTTGCACTTTACCAGCAGAGTGTAAATTACTGGTCCCAGGCTGGCAGGTGATTTCCTTCGTGTTTGTGCCAGATTGCAGTCCTGTTCTCTGAGGACTGTTGGCTGTTTTGCTGAACAACTTTGGATAAGCTCGTGGAGTAACTGCCTACCAATTACTAATATGCTTTCAAAAGCATTGGTCTGTTCGTGCATAGAAGTGACAGAGTGGCTGCCCTCTGAGGATGTGGGTTTTGACAAGATGTCCTAGGCAGACTACATCGTGTCCCAGCAGCTTCCAAAATAATAGAAATAATGGAAGGAATTTTGGCATCGTGTGCCTCAGAAAGTTTTATACTAGTCACAGCAGATTTCACATCTGTTTGGATAAGCAGTGATATCCTAGCCAGGTTTCTTCTTCAAAAAACCCCAGAGAATATTGTGTTCTAAGGATGCTAATAAAGATACCTGAGAAAGAAGCAAAAGGTGATTAAACAATTTCCCCTTATGATGTTCAAGCTGACTCTAAAATTAGAGACATAACAGCACTGCTTACTTCATGTTACTGAGCTGCTGGAAACTGCCATAATCCCACAGATTCCAGCAGCAGCAGTTTATACCTCCTGAGAGCATCTTCTCTTTCCTGTTGGCACAGCTTGTCCAGTTCTTGCATGTTTATAAAATGCTTTTGAGTTTGGTCAGGTAAATACAGAGCTGTCACCTTAGTACTTTCAGGTTTTTCTCCAGTTTAGGTGGTGTTGGGTATCCCAAGTTGTGTTTTCAGTCAAAGCTGTAACACTTTGAAGACGACCTCACCTTTAAACTGCATTAAATCAGACAACTTTATTGTATGACTTTGCATTAAGAGGCTTTGATGTGATCACTGTGCAAAAGAGATTTTGGACTTAGGGACTTACTTGGTCTCATCCTGCTGGGTAGTTTTTATGTTTAATTTGGAAAAGGAAAGTCCTAGAGTAACACTCATAAATTGTATAAGGGAGTAGCAGCTGTAGCAGTTCAGGTCAAACATCAGACATGGGTAGTACTGTATATGTGACAGTAGCATTGGAGAAGGCACAGAGCAGCCCTCCCTGGCATGTGTGCCCAGCTGCCATGGAAGCTGCTGCAGCCATCCTTTGCAAACCATGCACCCATGATGTCCTTTGGAAGATCTGTCAGGTGAGCACACTTCAAAGGCTGTTTATCTGGCTCCTAGCTATCGAGCACATGTAAAATGTTAGTCCATTTTCCTATTAAAGCTCTCCTTTTTATGGGGTAGGAAGGGAGGAACCTTGCATTTACAGCATTGAATTTGCCAGCATCTGTCTAAAAGAGATTGCTGCCCAGGGATGGACAAAAGGCAGGGTGGTCTCAGACCATGGACCACAAATGAAGGATTGTGGGCACAGTAAGCAGCAGTGTCAGACCATCTGCCTTCCAGTATCCGGGAGAAGTGTTTCTGGTTTTCTTAGATATCAGAGCACGGAAGAGTTGGGAAGCAGGACAGTGATGTTCTCAGGTCCATTCATCCAGGCGTGAAAAGAAGCATGAAAAGAGTCATAGAATCATAGAATTTAAGGGTTGGAATGGACCTTACAGATCATCTAGTCCCAGCCCCCCCTGCCATGGGCAGGGACACCTCCTCACTAGATCAGGTTGCTCAAGGCCTCATCCAGCCTGGCCTTGAACACCCCCAAGCTTGAGGCAGCCACCACATCCCTGGGCAACCTGTTCCAGTGTCTCAACACAGAGTAAAAATTTTTTTCTCACATCTAACCTAGACTTTGCCTCCTTCAGTTTGAACCCATTACCCCTTGTCTTATCATTGCAATTCCTAACAAGCAGTCCCTCTCTGGCTCAGCTGGAAACAGCCTCCAAATGAGAGTGCTGTGGGAGACAGAGTCAAAGCCCTTCCTGAAGTCAGGACTGCTCTTCATCAGCTGTGTAGTCATCATTTCATCGCAGAAGACAAGTGGGTTGGTCTGGCTTTGCGAAATTTGTGATGATAGTTCCTTCTTGTCCTCCATGAGCTTGGAAATGAATTCCAGTGGGAGGTAACCCCAGTATCTTTCTCAGCACTTGGACAAGACTGGGTGATAGAAGTTTCCCAGATACTTTTTCTTGCCTTTCTTAAAAATGGGTCTAGTGTAAATCTTCCTCCTGTCACCTGCCCCTGTACTGTGTGCAGTTCTGGGCCCCTCAGTTCAGGAAGGATATTGAGGTGCTGGAGTGGGTCCAGAGAAGAGCAACGAGGCTGGTGAAGGGACTCGAGCACAAGTGCTATGAGGAGAGGCTGAGGGAGCTGGGGGTGTTCAGCCTGGAGGAGGCTCAGGGGAGACCTTATCACCCTCTACAACTCCCTGACAGGAGGTTGTAGTCAGGTGGGGGTTGGTCTCTTCTCCCAGGCAACCAGCAGTAGGACAAGAGGGCACAGACTCAAGCTCTGCCAGGGGAGGTTTAGCTTGGATATTTGGAAGAGATTACAGAGAGAGTTATCAGGTACTGGAATGGGCTGCCTGGGGAGGTGGTGGATTCACCATCCCTGGAGGTTTTCAAGATGAGACTGGATATGGCACTTAGTGCCATGGTCTAGTAATGATGGTAGGGTTGGACTCGATCATCTTTGAGGTCTTTTCCAACCCGGTTGATTCTGTGATTCTATGTTTTTTTGAGGTCTCTTCCGTTTGTTAATAAGAAACAAATGACTCAAAACCAAAAGGTGCCCTAAAAGAGAGGACAGGAGCTATAGCTTCTGGACACTTGAACTGCAGTGGTTTGGATTTAGTTTGTAATTGGTAATGTCTGCTGATTTAACAAACTGATGTGCATCATGTGTGCCACAGGAGGCTGAAATCAAACTGTATCAGCTGCATTTGCTCAGTGTTTTCTTTGTTTCTGACTGGTAGGTGACAAACTAAATCGCTGCAATGCCACCACTGGGGAGTATGCCCAGGCCTGTGTTCAGGTTGCTAAGGAATGCAGAACAGATGTGCTCGACCTCTGGACACTGATGCAAAAAAATCAGGTACGATGTCATGACAAAGTATTTGAAACTGTCATGAATTGTGAAACACATCATTTAGCATAGAGGAATGTGTGGTGCTGCATTATCACTGAAACGATGCAAAATATATCCAAATAACGCTTTGGGGAAGGAAAAGAATAATCCAGAATGCTTCACAGTGTGCAATGAGAAATAAAGCTTAATACAACCTGGCCATGATACTTGGCTAGCAAATGTCCCCTGAGTACATTACATGTAAATAACCTTTTCCTTGAACTTGAATTATGGAGTAGTTTAGGTTGGAAGGGGCCTCTGGACCTCATCCATCCCACTGCACAGTATTGGGCCAACCTGAAAGTCAGGTTGGGCTGCACAGGTACCTTTGCTGATGCTTCTGACCAAATCCCCAAACCCATCTATGGGAGACATTGCAAATTTTTCCTGTAAGCAGATAACTCCAGTTTGGACACTGAACCTTTTGTCTCCCCTGCACTCCCTGAGGCAGTAGACTGTTCAGTGGTGCAGTAGACACAATATTTTGATTGCATCACTTAATCCCCTCATGTTTTCCTGATAAATAGCAGTGACTTTGGCCATCAGAACATACTCTTAAAATATTTTGTCAAAAATGGTGAAAAATAAAACCAGTATATATACCAGGTGGCTTTGAAGAACTTAAAAAAGACTCAAGACCTTCTCTTTGCACCTAGCAAATTGTTTTAATA